GCTCTTCCTCACTCAATGGGGGAAAAGAGCTAGGACCAACAATGGGATCCTGCCCACCCTTCCCAAAGGCCAGAACAAGCCTCAAGTCAAGGCTCCAGAGACACAAAGCCTATGAGAGAGGCATGCCAGGAAAACAGTGACCAGGCCAACTGCAGGCACGTACAGAGCCTGGAAGAGACGGCAGTTGGGAATTGAGCCCTTATTTTGCAACAGCCAGTGGGGAGCAGGACACAGAGCATCCTACGGCAGACAGGCTCAGCACGGGACCTTGTCAAGTGCCAGTTCCCAGCAGACTGCCCAAGTAGAGATTTACTGGGGGAGGATTAAGGAGGATTAGAGTTGCCCCAGCCCCACTAGCACTACATAACTTAGCATGTTTGCAATGACTACTGTGTGCACAACAGTTTGGCGGCACAGTGCAAGGGAAGGCAGCGTGTTCCCAAATGGGTTGATCCTGTTGTGCCGAAGCAGCCCAAGACATGCATCTTTATCCCTGCCAGGATCTCCTAGGCAGAACGCAGGAGTCCTGAACAGAGACCACAACTCAGCTGTAGGGTTGTAGCTGCACGGTCTACTCTTCCTCTTCTTCTCCTCCCATTCACCCCTTTCCTCAGTACAGGGAGCAAGTTCTAACAGTTTCCCCCTTCCTCACATCAGCTTGCACCCATGAGACATGCATTTACTCCCTTCTTTTCCCAGAGGTGAAGGGGATCTTTCGACCTGGGCTATTGCACAAGGAGAATGTGCTGAAACTTTTTCTACCTGCCTTCTCCTCTGCAAAACAGGGAGAAAGCTACTTCTCCCCTCCACGGTTCTTCCAGAGGTGTTCTTAGAAAACACAGTCCATCCCACAGAAAGGCATGGAGCTCCCACTTCCTGTGGCAAAGGAAGCTGACAATGTACCTTAACTGGTTTCCCAAGGTTTCAAAATAGGAAGAGCTTCTGTAAACACCTGATCTAGTCCTTCCTGATCACAGAACATTTACCCAGAATTCTTTAGAGCACAACCCTGTTCCTCCAGCATTTCCTATCCTATTATGTACGCCTGTAAATATTTGCTATGTGAAACCAGCATTATACATGTGTCAGGCATGAGTGACCTACTGTGGGTCAAAAGCTTTTTAAATGATGCATCGTCACCTCTCATATAATAGCATTTGACTAAGGCCAACAGAGTTAAGTTGCACAAGAGCTGCAATGACATCAGAATGTTTACACTGAGGACCTGGCACAGTGTATGGCAGAGGAAGCAAGACAGAGCATTGCCATCAGTCCCTCCTGGCACTCTTGGGCTGTGCCTTACTGATGCCTGAAGGTGGCTGCTCCCTTTCCTGCTGCCATAAGTACTAGTGTGGGGGTGGCAATCTTCTTTACAGAGGAGGATATCTGGTAGATTAAAGAAAGAAGAGGAAAGGAAACAGCCCACCTGCAGGAAAATAAAAGATTTACCTGAAAGAGAGCGAGACATACAAAACAGTAAACAAAATTGAATGACTGTAATTAAATTTGTTAGTGGGCTAGCTACAATGACCTACTTTTAATTTGATTTCATAAAATTTCTCTTTGTGTTACTGTAGGCATGTCTGCATCTCCAGCAGCTACATTTTTTTTTTAATTCAATTTTGGCCAACCTTGACAGAAAGTAGAGGTCTTCACAATATTACACTCCTCCATGTGCAACCAGAACAGAAAGCTGGGAGGAAGTCCATGAGCAGAGTTTCTCTTTGTTGACAAAAAGGCTGCAGTGAGACCTCCATTACAGCCTGATATCAGAGAATCCACTCCCCACCCAAGTGCATTTTCAGTGTACTCTAAAAGCAGAGCTCACACTGCGGACTTGGTGTAATTCAGTTAAAAAGTAAACCAGAGCTGCAAGACAAATTCATTGGAAAACAAGGTCACTACTTTCTACTGCTTTTGGAAATATTTCACATACTCTGGTCTAGCCATTCCAAACACGTGCACTTCATCACATGGCTCCTGCTGGTATAACAAGACCTTTAATTATTTCATGCCTGCAATTCTATACCTGTTCTAACACTCTATATGAAACAAAACAGGCAAGTGAGGATACTGAGCTGAACCCTACGTTCATGAGCCACAGCAATTTTAACTGTGTTATTCCCTTATGTAACGTGAACATGATTTGTCCCGTAAAAGCAAGCAGATACTGACTCGATAACTGCATGGCACACTTCTGGAAAGTGTGTGGAAAAAACAGCCTACCTGGTCATATAGTTGGCTACAAGACACACTGACAAAAGAACACTGGACACGAATCTCACAGCAAAGACGAAGGAAGAACTGGGAAAAGGAAGTCTCTACCTCTCGGGACCATAACACCACTGATTCAGTTAAATAATTTCATTGTAGTAATTGTCTGGAAAAAGTACTTTATACGTTGTTGTTGCAGGAAACAGGGTTCCCGCAGAATTTACTGCAGTTTTGCTGCTAGCTTTCCTCATGTTGTACCATACAGGTACATAAAGCTGCACATCCATAATGCTAAAGAACTGTTTGCTGGAAATAAGGGTCTGAGGTGAACTGCAAAAAAGACAGCGTGACTCTTCCGTCATGCATACACACATGCTTTTACTGGGCAATTCAACCCTTTGGGCTTTAACACTGCATATAAAGATATGTGACTGATAAAAATGCCCACTGGACTACATTAAATAGGACGATTAAAAACAAAAGGCAAGCACAGCCTGAATGTCAGCTAAGGTTTCCATTCAGAGTATTGAAGCTTGGTTGCATTCCGAGAAGTGAAATTTTCTTGCTAAATTCATCTTCCCCCTTTGTTTTCTACACCAACAAACCTTCACACTTCAATTATAAAAATACATTTTTGAAAGAATATTTATAATTTCTTTTAGTACTTCAAACAGGACACCGTGCTGCAAACCTATGCTGGACTTCCCACATGCTCATACACACAAACCTTGTTTTGAAGTGGTTGGTTGTATAAATATTTACTAATAAAACATCTTGCAGAAAATATGTGTCCAGAAAAACAAATTGTTCACAGAGTAGCATAGCATAGCAGAAGATAGTAACTAGATGAAGTGCATAAAAACATTCACATATTTTGCAAAAGCCTGGCAGAAAAGTAGCACGCTTATAGTTAGGGGCTTCTTACAGTAAAGCCCTTTTGTGGGGGGGCCCTTGTGCTCTAGGGATATTTGTATTTTACAGCATAAGAGCACAAACTAATGACATTCACAAAACCCTGCTTGCACCCCTAACCTGACAGGTAGACTGACACAAAAGAATCAGTAAACTTTTGTATAATCTTGGTGCAAACCTCCCTATTCTACGCATAACTGGCCTGCATTCTCCCCTCTATTCCTTGTATTCACAAACTGTTCTTAGAAAAAGATCAAAACTAAGCAACAGAGAGGAGTATACAAGTGGCACGATAAGAACTCCATGAGATAATTTTTAACCCTCAGTGGGGAAAGCTGGCAACCCTAACAACTTTTTTTAATGCTGCACCTACCAAATTGGACCTCCACTCTAAGACCTGACTTAAACTCCTTTAAAACTTTACACTGAACTTTGCCAAACAGGACAGATGCATTAGACCAGGGACACAGTTTCCTGATGTGGAGAATACAGTGCTTTGTTTCTGATATTCGTCACAGCAATAACTGTTGAACAACATGAACTCAAATGACCACTTTCCGCAAACAACACCGCAGGGATGAGCTTGTACGTATCTCACAAAGACAGCCCTGTCTTGGCCCTGTCTCATGACGAGAGAAGTTGCCTGTTTGAGGAAGCAGTCAGTTCACAAGGAGAAGAGCGCTCTTCTGATAACAGGAATTGCACTGGTATCGCTTTTAGCAAACTCATCTGCCCTTTTTCCTTAGGACCTCACCCTATGTCAGGAATGCTACACTGTGTTTACTAACATCTGCAGATTAACCTAACCATAACTCTCCCAGAGACTTGCTTCTCCTCAGCTGCTCCCATCCTATTTCACTCTCCCTGGGGAAAGGTAACCCCTCTGCCTCAATGCCTGTATGGTGAGTTGAAAAGAGAGGTTTCATTCAGAAAGGAAAAGGTTTTTTTCCCCTTCGCACTCTCATTCTTCCAAGCTGTTCTCCCATGTCCCTGTGTACCCTCCCTGCCACAAAAACTGCCCTTTCTCTCCATAACTCACCCAACTATTTAAATCTCTTACATGTTCTTCAAGCCAGGCACCTGATGCTACTCTGAGGGGCACCATATAGATACCTACAGAAATAGAAATACTAGAGGACTTCCAGCTGCAAAGGAGCATTGGTGATTCACAATACTCAACTCGCTCATTGTACAAGCTTGGAGTATTCAAAAACTCTCATTTTTTTCAGGTCTCCAAAGTTGGTCTCTGGGCCTTCTTAACTTCCTCTGCAAGCTCGGCCCAACTAAAGCATTTCAGCCACCTTTGAGACTTTGGGATAATTAAAAGCAGCAACCATTACAATCTAAGTCTGAATGGGGTCTTTCCTTCACAGGATTTTTACCTCTGTCCCTCCAAGCCGAGGTTTCACAAGTACTTGAAAAGGCTGCCTCCAACTAATGGCTTTGGGAAGTTTGGCAGGTAGGTGTTGAGAATTGCCCATCTGTAGCAGTCCATCTGTCCTCCATCCAGCCAACAGCAGCGGTAGCTCCTTAGGGCAACTCCTGTCCTATATGTAGTTCCCAGTGAACTAGCAACACATAAAACACTGAAAATTACAGGGTTTGGCCACACACACACATAGATCAAATAGGAGGCAAGGCAAGTGCATTAAGCAAAAACCACGCTGAGACAACCTGAACTGACAGGCCACTGGGTGAATCATGCTACCCCACAGGCAACAGCAAAAATTCTTGTTTTCTTTCCTCTGTAGCAGGGAATATGGAGTATTTCTCCTCTCTCTCATTTCTCATGGGTTTTCCAGTGAAGGTTGCCATTTTGGGGGGATGGGGAAATTTCAGAGTTACAAACCCCAAAGATTTAAAAGCCTTTGGAAGAGAGGCCTGTATGAGACTGACACCGCTGAGCCGGTTGGGAACAGATGACGCAGGCTTTGCGTGAGCCCAGATATTTGGGGATACCCTGATCCAAAATGTTCACTTTCAAAACCCAAGTTGGCTTGCAGCAGTATCAAGACCTTTCCTGTGCTCATCCTCCTTCCCAGCAGTAACTTAAATGTCATGGTGGACACACTCAGGGGTTAACCGTTCACAGATATCTCTGCTGAGATCACTCTACCATCAGCAAGCACAGAATACTGTGGTGTACAAAAATATTAAATCAAAGGGAAGGGTGTATTAGTCAAGGCTCTGTGCAGCAACAGTTTCCCAGTGCTATTCTAAGCACTGAGACGCTCTACATAAAAGGTTCTACTCCTTCTACCAGTGTTACAAACCGTAAAGCCTTATTCTAAATACATTTGGGCAAAGTATTTAAAATTACTACTATTACAGAATTTTTGGACACAGTCAGCCACCACTCCCTCAGACAAACTGGAATTACTACACGGAAATATGAACTAGACTAGATACAAGCTGCTAAAAAGTTTCCTTGCATTTTCAAAACCAAGCAGAAATAAAAACAGTAATATAAATAAATAAAAATAGTTATGGGTAACAATAAAAACACTTAGGGCTTTTACAGTTCCCTTCAGTTTAATAATCTCAACAACATCTATGGAATACTAGAAGGGTTCAGTGTTTATTTGACAAACAGGCAATTGTTAATTTCTAAATGTGATCAACTAAGAAAAACAAATAACAAGCTGAGTTAAAAATAATTTTCAGCACTACTTTTCCTTGAGTCCACCAGATAATTTCTGCAATTTTACACACATTTTTTTTAACATTTTGAATAGTTTTCTCTCCCTAGTTTTTCCTTTAGGCCTTGATCCCCCACCAACCAAGTCTTAGAGGACCCTGGCCTCCAGGATGTTAGTAGAAATTCCTATTCCTTTTATGTAACCCTCTAGCAGTGGAGAGAGGGACTACAAATACAATACACCCTTTCACTGTTATCAGATGCTGTACACAAGAGGCTCCTTTATACATGAAAATCAGCCTCCATAACTAACTAACTGGCTCTTCAGAAGAAGTAGTGAAGCCACATTCACAACAAATGCTGTCAAATATATATACTACAGCAAGAAGAGCAAAATTGACTATCACTTGTTTTCCACCATAGCATCTTAGAAACAACTTTTTAACTGCCGTGCAGACTTCTAAATGTGAAAGTTTGGAAACACTATTTGGAACATCTGGCACATTTTTTAAATTCAAGCACTCCTGTGAGGATCATCAGAAGACTTCAGGAAATTGCCTTGTACACAATAATATCTGGAAAACATAAAACACACTACTGCAAGGCAGTTTATCTCCTTTGCTGCATGCCCTGCAACATCGTATCAGAACCAAAACCAAAAAAACCACCAGCAGAGAACATCTCGCGGTGTCGCTGGCAAGACAGAGTCCGTGTTGTACCCTGAAAGCTTAATCCCAGCCTGCCTCCACGGGTGAGTGAAGTCAGAGCTGGATACAAACACCCACTTTCACTCTTCAGCATAAAGGGGGGAAGGCCAGGTACTCCTCTCTCTTTTACACTTGAAAAGCAACTCGGTTTCAAGTGAGAGGCTCAACCAGGATCGGGAGATGTACACCTGACCGCCTCCATATGCCAAGCGAACCTTTGCACAGGCAACAATCGGCAGGAAGCTGGGTGCAATAACCCAGGCAGAAAACACCAGGGCCCTCAGCTGCTAAACAGGCAGCTGCAGCAGCAACAAATTCTCCAGCCTCCAAAACATGGCACAGCCCCTCCGCAGCCCAACTCACCACCACAGGACCTCTGCCCGAGGAGAATCCAGAGCCCAAAGGCATCGGATGACCATTTCACTAAAGCCTCGCTTATTTTCTATGGTTTTTTTTTTTTTTGCTTTGCTCCCTTCTGGATTACCGGGATCAACGTAAGCCGGAGGAGGACCTGCTGCAAACCCAGCATCTGCTCTGGAGACAGACCCAGCCGCCCTGCCTGCCAGCAAAACTCTCCCTGTCCATCCGCCAGAGATTTGCCGACACAAGGGCAAGCAGGATTAGGGCCGCGGCAAATATTTGCCTATCAGCACTTTATAACGGGTGAGGGCACGGACATGGGCGTGTATTGGGTTTCTAGCAGGGTCATGGGTGACTCTGCTCCTCCGGCAGCTACCGTGACCAGTGGGGAAGACTCGGAAGGTCCGTTCACGGGTGGAATGACAGTGGAGAAAAGGGAGGGCGGTGTTTATGTCGGCTTAAAATCATCGCTCATCAGGTGGAAACGATGACACCTAAAGGAAACTGGGCCTGGATGGTGGCCGGTGTC